AAAAAAACGAAGTCCAGATGACATGATTCAACCTTTTTTGTTGTTATATACCTGGATGACTGAGAAAACAAACTTTGTGGTTTGGTTCTACGTTAATTAATTAATTTGCTGGTTTATTTGCACATCCTGCTTTTAAGGTATCCTTTTTTCTTTGGATAAACTTTGACAGTAACCACCCTACACATCTGCTTGGCAAACCCTCAGCTGCTTTGAGGTCCTTCAACGCAAACAAGCTGATTTTTTTTTTCCCGGTTGAAATGAATATTACTATAAATTGGTATTATGATTTAAATTATGCATCTTTTCCCAAAATTTTTTGTGTATATGCGTGTGTATATGCGTGTGTATATGCACATTACTAATATATCTCAACAGCAGGATGGATTTAATTTAACTCTGAAATTCAGTTATAGGTGTGTTTCTTGATTAAACCCAACACAAGTTGGTCGCTACAAAACAAATGACCTTAGCAAACACAAAAATGGTTGTAATTCAGGTTATTTACAGATATGCAGTTGTGTTATTGTTGTTATTATAATTTAGCAGAGTTCCAAATGAATCACTTTTGAAAAATAGGCATATTTACAATATTTTCTTGGGGGTCGAGATGGGTAGAGGCAGGACAGCCGACCCGGGACCCAAAAGCCCCATATTCGATCCCCAGCCATTCCCACATGTCGTGGTGTCTCTGAGCAAGACAGACCAATACCTAATTGCTCCCTGGGTGCTTTCATAGCTGCCCACTGCACCACCTGGGATACATCCGATGGGTCAAATGCAGAGAACTCATTTGACCATTGGATGGGAACATACAGTATAATGATGACAATCTCAGACTTCACTTAACTTAAAAGGTTTACATACTCTGGCAGAATTAGTGCTTTTTTTTGGCTGTTTTTCAGAGAATATGAATGACAACAAAATATTTTCTTTCACTCATGCTTAGTGGTTGGGTGAAGCCATTTATTCTCAAACAATACATAGTTCCCACACACGTGACCGGTATTGCGCAATACCGAGTTTTCCGCCATAAGTTTATGGGCATGTGAAGAAGACGGCTTACAGACAAACCAAAGCTCAGTATATTGATACTCTTGACCAAGAGCAAGATATAGGCATAAAATAGCTGCGGTCGGAGTTGACCCCTATGAGGTGGAGAAAGAAATTATGTCAGACGAAACAGACAAGTTGTCACCGAGAAGTTACTCTGATATCGTTAATTATTTAGTGAACACGAGGAGTGCCTACAACGGAAGAGCTTCGCAGCTTTAAATCCATGGATGCTTATAATCAATAACGGATTTGTGAAGGATGTCCAAACTCTTCATGTTAATAAAACTCTGGTGGCTGGCCGAGTAAGTATTTACAATAATATACACGTAGATGTCCCTCATAGCATGTGACATGCTACATCAGGTAAGCTAATCTGTGCTACATTAAAGATCACTGATATTTGCACAAGCTACATCAGGTACACTACTGTAGCTTGTGCTACATTAAGAATCGCTGATATTTACTGTAGCAAAGATTAACTTAGCTGATGTAGCTTGTGCTACAGAAAATATCAGCGTCTTTACTATAGCACAAGTTACATCAGGTAAGCTGGAGTAGCTTACTGTAGAGCTACTTCAGCTTACCTGACATACTTGTACTATAGTAAATATCTACTTGATGTAGCTTGTGCCACGTATTTCTCACATTACTACATTATTTATTTTGCCTATGACGGCCTTTCATACTTAAATTAGTGTTAACAAAATTAATCATATGTAATTATTGCTCATAGTATTTAACGTACTACAGTGAATGTCACTGATATTATTTATTTTCCACTATGACTGCCTTTGTTAATAAAGTTAGTGGTGAAAAGTTACAATTTGGTAACTCATTTTAATTCATTGGTTAAATGTTGTTTTAAAACCCTGAAACAAGAACAGCATTTTAATTGTTTTTCTCCTTTGTGTTGTATTTCTGTGTAAGGTGCTCCCAGAAGATGGATGAAACTCCACTTCGGCCAGAAGTCGTGCAGTCATGCAAATATCATTTCTATAAATTGATGTGTCTTTCAAGTACATTTGGCGTGGTTGTGAAACATGCATTCCTAAATGTATGTGTGCTTACCTTTAGTTTGAATAAAACAGTTGCACCAAGTTTCACCTTCTTTAATTCAATAATGAAGATATGTTGTTTAATCTCCAATACTGAGAAATAGTTTCATTGTAATGTCACCTCTACTAGACATTATTCTTCTGCACATATATAAAACCTGGGTGTAGTGATTGTTCTTTGGCAATTTACCAGTTTAGTGTTTTATTGACATGCACAAAACATAAAAGCATGCATGTTGCTGTATGGTTCCTCCTCCAGGAGGAGACTGACAAAGTTCTAAGTAAAAGCCTATAATTAGAAATTCAAAACAGTTGAAACTGAATACAATATGAGAATTGTGGGTGATTTTATGTCTTTTAATGAAAATGACTTCATACAGCTTATCATAGTGGGCTACAGAATAAATACCAGATCAAAAACACTCTTCAACAAGGAATGATGGAAGCCAGTGTAGTTCTATTTCGTATAAGCTATGCCCTTTAAAAGCTGTCGCTATTGGGTTTATTCGCGCGCAGCGCACTGAACACTGAAAACTTCGAGTCCACGCCCACCTGCTGTTTGGGCCTCACTCGGTCCGTTATAAATTGCATCTGGACTGGAAATCGCCTCCCGTTTTTCTTCATCCAACGCTAAGAACACTACTTCTATGAAAGAATAATAGAAAGAAAAATAATAAGAAAGATGACTTCAATTAAGAAATCGAAGACCATCCGTCTGTGCCTCGCGTGCCATACGGGCTACATCTTATCGATGGACCTGCATATCGTGTGTGAAAGCTGTCTGGGAGCTGACCACGCTCGACAAGC